TATGTGCTTAAGCACTCCACTCTGTAAAATGGGATGTGTACCTGATCCCGGCCTCCCTAGACCAACTGCAAGGAGAACTGAGAAGAAAGCATTTGGAAATACTCAGCATCAAGATCTCCCAAAGGCTCTTTAGGTATAAAACACCGCGGATTCCGAGAACCGAGGCGGAGACCCGGGAGTGTAGGGTTCCCCGGAGTTTCTGGCTCCTGGCCTTGGTTGTAGAGGTGGGCTAGGGGAGAGTGGTTCTCAGCTCCTTGGGACCCAGGAGACAAGTGCTAAGTCAGCGTGCCTGGAGAGAGGACCCAGGGCGTGGTAAGTGCTACAGCGTGAAGCTGGGAATTAAAATACTTCGGACAATCAATCCTGCCCCCTTCTTCTGCAAAAGGAGAAACTGAGGCTCAGAGCGGTGCTCCACGAACCCACGTCCCTTGCCTCTCAGCCTAGAGCGATTTCTGCCAAACTCCTGGGTGCCAGACCTCTCCTCCACCACATAGCCTGGGGCAGAGAGAGAACACCCTTTCCCCAGGCCCAGCCAGAGTCCACTTCTGCCGCGCTCGCAACGCACCTGAGCCTGTTGGAGTTGAAAGAGCTTTGGGGTCTCGAGGAAGGCGGGGTCTGGAGCCTAGGCGCCTTGCAGTCTACGCGGGCGGATCTTTCTTGAGCCCATCCTGCTGGGGGCTGCCTAGACACCCTCCTCCCCCATCAGGTCCCTTAGGGCTGTGCTCCCAGTGATGGCCCCTTTCACCGGGCGCATTCAAATCTTCCGCGGGAGATGGAAAGCTATGCTTTCCACAGCGCCAGCGCCTAAGGGCACCTTGTTCTTTAACCACCCACGAGGGACTCTCAATGGATCTCATGGGACTGGGATTTGTCACCCAGTGCTGATTGTATTCCCCAGCGCACTAACTGGGCTGGATATGTGGGAGGTTCATTTAGCCCTGAATGACCTGTATAATGGGGGGAAAGTGACTGGGACAATGGGTGGGAGCATGGTCTGTGCCTTGTGCGTATGTGGGTAATTGTGTGTACCTCTGAGTCTTTAGGTAGCTGGGTGGGGTGAACAGTTTCTCCCTCCACAACTAACCAAAGTTTTGGGGTTGGAACTCACCCAGAGGCGACTCAGAAGACAGGCCTGTTGATCTGCTTCTGAAATGTTACAACCTTGAAAACCCTATGGAGCAGTTCTACTCTGCACACGTGGGATCACCTTGAGTCAGATTCGACTGACGCCAACTAACAACTGTGAGGGCTTATGGTGTGGGTGCCTTGGTTATGCATAACATTGTTTTATTGTTGTGAGCTATCAAGGCAATTCCAACTGATGGTGACCCTACAGGATAGAGTAGAACTGCTCCATAGAATTTTCTAGGCTGTGATCTTTACAGGAGCAGATCCCTAGGATCCTTCAGTGGAGCCACTGGTGGGTTGGAACTGCTAGTCTTTCGTTGGCAGCAGAGCTCTTTAACCAATGAGCCACAAGGACGGCTTTTGCATAACATTATACAACTTTATCTCTAAGGGTTGTGAGTGTGACTACTTATATAGGTAAGGTTGGGAATATATGTCAAATTGACTGAAATCTGAGTGCCCGTGTGTGTAATGTAGCACAAATAGATGTGAGAAGGTCCATTTGTGAGCCCCTATGTGTATGTAGGAGTAATCGTGGCTTTGTAGTGACACTGAAAATATATAAAACCTATGATGGAGTTTTTGGAAGTTTGTGTTGTGAATGCAATTGTGGGAGAATTGTAGGCAAATACAGACTGGTTGTACCTGTATATAATTTTGACAGTCAGAATATGTGTAAAATCCTGTGATTGTGTGGTATTTACAGTCTCAATTTGTGGTGAGTCCATATTCAACTTGATAGTAATGGGTTTTTTGGATTGTATGATTGTGCCTTTTTGCAAATCTGAGTGTATGAGTGGCTTCTGATGCATCTGGAGCATGGTGTGTGCTCTTTGGGTGACAAACATAATGTGTAAGACAGCAGAAATGCATGAATCTGAAATTCTGTGTCGTATTGGTATAATTGTGTGTTACTGAGAGAATAAACTTACTTTTTGACGTCTGTGTGAACATATGGACGTTTGTGAGCTTGTTCCTGTATGTGTCCTTAAGGCTGCGGGAGCCCGTATGCATAATAAGTTTTTGTGTAATCAGTCGTGGGTCCGGGTGTAACACTGCGAGAGAGGCTGAAACAGAAAGATCGTGCCCGGATTAGGAAAGACTGGGTGTGATGATTGAGGTCCTTCCACAGAGCAATTACCCTTTCCACCCGCACACCCTCATTCAAGGACGCCTCCAGGCCGGGAAAGTGGGCCTTCAGCCCCGGGAGGCGCAGGACCCCGCGGAGCCGCCGCCGAACTGGGCGCCGGGCGCTCCCTCCCCGCGAGCCTCCGGCTCCGCGCTCGGCCCAACCCCAGCGCTGCTGGCGCCAGGCGCCAGGGAGAGCGGCGGGTTTCTCGCCCGCCTAGGGCAGAAAACCAGAATCCTCCCTCCCCCACGCACCCCCACAGCCTCAGCGATCTCCCACAGGTGGAATTGGACAGCTCAGGGCTAAACCAGAAAAGCACAGAGCCTTTGTCCCTTTTCTATCCTGAAGAGTTTTTTTCTTTTTCTTTCCCTTCTCTCCCTTGTCGAGGAGCCCTGGTGGCGCGATGGTTAAGCACTCGTCTAAGTGAAAGTTTGGCGCTTGGAACCCGTCAACCATTCTGACGGAGAAGGATGTGGCAATCTGCTTCCCTAAAGATTTACAGCCTTAGAGACTCTATGGAGCAGTTCTCCTGTGTCCTATAGGGTAGCTCTGAATCGGAATAGACTCAACCGCAGTGGTTGGTTGGTTGGTTTTGGTCTACTCCTTTGTACAAGAGCGTGATACCACATATCCACTTGCTTCAAGATCCTCAAGAAAATCGTTCACCTTCTTTGGGCCTCACTTTCCCTATCTGTACAACGAGAATTGGCCTTTATTTCTGCTTTTGGACTAGTAAGAGTACCAGGCACATAACGTATGGCCAATAAATAATTGTTGAGTGAATGGGTAACAAAATAAGTTTGCCCTTTTTAAAAAATAATTTATTATATTTTTGTTGTTGAAAATATACACAGTATATTGTTGTTGTTGTTGTTGTTGTTGTTATGTGCCGTCGAGTTGGACCCGACTCATAGCAACCCCTCCTTGGGTTTCGGAGGCTGTAGTACTAGGGAAGTAGATTGCCCAACCTTCCTTTTGATACACAGTATAACATACACCAATTCAACAATTTCTACATATACAATTCAGTGACGTTGACTACATTCTTCACGTTGGGCAACCATTCTCACCCTCCTAATTTGTCCTTTTAAAAGCGTTGGCATAGATTTCACTCTCATCTCACATTGCTTTGGGGAGAAAAGCTCTGTATCTCTATCTAGGGAATTAGGGAGGTGGAAGAGCTGGGAAAGATTGGTAGAGATGGAGGAACCCAGGTATGTTGACATCAATTGGAAGGTATAGCAAAAGCAGGTAAGATGAAGAGCTTGAAGCTTGAAGACTCCCACCACCTTGGGATCCCCAGGTGCCACTGCGAGCTCCGTGGGCGGGGAGAAGCTCCTGTGGAGTGAATCAGACCGGCCGCCGATGGCTCTGCTGGGAAGGAAATAGCTGCGGACGGCGTGCGTTGACGGAATGAAGCCCCTTGGCCAGTGAGGGTGAGACGCACCCGGGGCATCTAGTTTCTGGCTGTCTCAGCTTCGTAAGTGGGGTGGTGATGGTCTCTGCTACATGCATTTGCCCAAAGGCCGAGTTCTCCCGGTGTGAGCTTCGGCGCCCGTGTCTCTCGAGAATCAGGCATTCTCAAGCAGTGATGACCTGGGTGGAATGGCCGAGTAAAATCCCGCTCCCGACCCTCCGTCGGATTCCTAAAAAGAGAGGAGTGGAGACCTGCGCGGTAGGTCCCTCGAGGCTAAGTCGGACGGAACGGAAGGGCTGCCTCAGCCTCAGCTCGGCTGCCCTTTGGACTGATCAGGCGCTCAGGCGCCCAGGAAGCTAGAAAAGCGAATCTCAGGCCCTCAAACTGGAACAAACTGGTAAATGCCCGTAGGTTTGGCTCTCACCTTCCCGCCCCGTCCTCTCTTTCCCAGAAAGGCTTCTCTGATGGTCAGTCGTCGCTTGCGCGGCAGCAAATGGGACTTGGCTAGAGTTGGCGGACTGGTAACACCAGGCACAGGATAGGTTCCCGTCCTACTGGAAGGGGCTGACGACCGAGGACGCGGTTTGGGGAGAGGAGTCAGAGAAAAATATAGGGGCCTATTCTGCCTTCAGCAGCGCCCTCCTAGCTCCTGCTCCGACGGCTGAGTGGAGCAGGAGTTTGGGTCTAGGAACCGCTAGAATTCCTATTTTGAGTTCTAGTGAGTCTAGAAACAGGAACCTTCCTTTCTCTGAATCTCAGTTTCCCTATTTGTAAAATCAAGGATGGGCTTTGGTGAAGTCTCCTTTTCTCTCGATAACTCTAGATTCCTTTTCTTGGGTCTGCGGTGTGTGGCGGGGGAGGGAATGGCAGCAACAGTCCAGGGTGTTGTCAGGTCTGTGCCTAAGTATTTTGCCCCCACCTTCCTCAAAGCCGGGAAGGTGGGAGAGAGTGGAGGGACAGAGGCGGGGTCACCTCCTTTTCCCCGCCGATGGCCTAGAGTCAAGTGGCTGTAGCCCAGCATAAAACCACCGATGGCCAGCCCCCCTTTCCTTCTCTCCGCCCCCTGCCATTGGCTCCAGGGAGAGGTTGACATCAAAGCCGCGGCCTTATATAAGCCAGATCCGAGTGGAGAGGCTGCAGAAGGGTTAAACAGGTCTCTAGGCGTCGGCGTCCTAGCCCACGACAAAAACAGGCAAGAAGGCTGTAGGCTGCGAATCCCAGGGCTCCTTCAAAGCCAGCGCCCCCAGAGCGCGGGCCCCGGCTGTTTCTGGGGCGCATGGGGCGGCGCTAATCCGTCTGGCGGCGCATGCCAGGGGCCGCTCCAACATGAACCTCGTGGGCAGCTACGCACATCATCACCACCACCATCACCATCACCACCCGCACCCCGCGCACCCCATGCTCCACGAACCCTTCCTCTTCGGCCCGGCGTCGCGCTGTCACCAGGAACGGCCCTACTTTCAGAGCTGGCTGCTAAGCCCAGCTGACGCTGCCCCGGACTTCCCCGCTGGGGGGCCACCGCCCACAGCCACAGCAGCCGCCGCCGCCTACGGCCCAGACGCCAGGCCAGGCCAGAGCCCTGGGCGGCTAGAGGCGCTCGGCGGCCGTCTGGGTCGGCGGAAAGCCTCGGGACCCAAGAAGGAGCGAAGACGTACAGAGAGCATCAACAGTGCGTTCGCCGAGCTGCGTGAGTGCATTCCCAATGTGCCGGCGGATACCAAGCTCTCCAAGATCAAGACTCTGCGCCTGGCCACCAGCTATATCGCCTACCTGATGGATGTGCTGGCCAAAGATGCACAGGCTGGAGATCCCGAGGCCTTCAAGGCTGAACTCAAGAAGGCCGATGGCGGCCGCGAGAGCAAGAGGAAAAGGGAGCTGGTGAGTTCGGGGCCCTGTGCGCTCCAGCTCAGGGCGAGGGCGCAGAGAGCGTCGGCAGGCGATGCGGAACAGTGGAAGGAGACTGTGTTGTCCTGTTTGCGATTTTGAGATGTTATGGGGAATTCTGAGCTGATCGCAGTGTGCGTGGGGATTAAATTTATTTGTAATGTGAAATACTGTTTATAAGACTGAGTGCACATGGAATCTCAAATCTTTTTAGAGAGGATCTTAGGGGGCGCCCTTTAAGAATTATTGGAAGGTCTGGATCCCAGAAAATGTACCGTGTATATATTTCATTTCCAATATTTTTTGGGGGACAGGGAGAGATTCTGGTCTTTTTCTGGGCTCGGCTAGAAGCCAGGTTAAGAACGCCTGCCAGAGTTCATTAGTTTGCCTTAATACAAATTTTTGTGCATGGGCTCACTGTTTTCAAAGAGCCTCTGCTATAGAGGCTGTTCCACTTCCATCATTGTACAGCTAGGGAAATTGAGGCCCCAAGTGGAACAGGACGTGGAGAAGACTGTTTGCCGGAGTATTCAGAGATGAAACTGGAATAAAACAAGTCAGCTCTTTCACTTTCAGTCCAGAGAGTCCCACCGCTCCACACTCGGTGGGCTGATTCTGAGGGCGACGTCGGTGGCCTTGTGGTGTGTAAAACGCTGACAGGCAAGAGCCACAAGGCTCACCCTCTTCTATTGATTGGCTTTGCGGGTTGCTAGCCCTACTGCTGACTCATTCTCGACCATCTCCAGTGGAAGTAACACTTTCTGGAGCTCGGTTCCGCTGGCCCAGGGTCACAGGCCCTCTGCGGTGGGTGATTTACTCTCCCGTGAGATAGGTGGATGCGCTCAGGTCCATAGCACGATGCAGCCGGCTAGAAATCTCGTCGGGTTTCGTCTGTCCCGCAGGGGCTGTGGTAACTCACCCAGTGGGACCTGGAAGAACAGATATGCGTCGAGTCTTTAAACCAATGCCCTGGGCTCAAAGTGGTGCAGGCCCGGGAGGCACCTCGGTAAAAGTATTTGGGCTAGCCGGACGTCCCGCACGTCGCGGCCTCCTTCTAAGAGCAAAGGCCCGATTCCTGCTAGAAGAGCGGGAGAAAAGGGGCTGTTAGGCCTTGCGGACTCTCTCTCTCTTTTGCCTAATGATGTCAGGCTCCCAGCGCCGGCTGGAGGGGACCCAGCCTGCCTCCAAAGTCCAGGCGCTAAACCAGGTTGGGAAGTGAATGGGATGTGTGTGGCAGAGCAGATCGTCCAGTGGGAAAACTGGTGATTTCCACCCAGTCCCCACTCCAGTCTCCCCACGATCTGCCTTCGGTGCCATAAACCAAATCTTTTACCAGGAGCGGAGAATTCTCCTTACCAAACTTCCCACGCGGCCCTGCCGATCCTAGGTTCCTGGAACTCGGCGCATAAGGGCAAATTTATGAGTCTGTCTGCATATTTTGCAAACAGAAATCAGTCACTTATTTAAAGGCGCCCAGTTACTGCTCCCAACACGCCCCCCTACACACACACCCCTCTTCACGCCTGGGCGATTGGAGCAGAAAAATTTAAACCTGTCTCTCTCGCCTCTTTTCTTGTGTATGTCCCCTGGCAGCAGCAGCAGCACGAAGGCTTTCCTCCTGCCCTGGGCCCAGGCGAGAAGAGGATTAAAGGGCGCACCGGTTGGCCACAGCAAGTCTGGGCGCTGGAGTTAAATCAGTGAGCCCCGAGGACCCACCCGGCCAAGGATGGTAGACCCCGGGGAGGAAAGGAAGGCAGCGGCGAGTGCCGGACTCGGGTCCCAGCTGCTTGTGAGGAAGTATCCCGCTGAGCCTCTGCTGCCCACTGGCAGGTCGCCAGCTGCAACCACATACTTGGATCGCACGTGCAATGTCATATGAAATTGTTTTTAGTACATAAAAGAAAGAAAGATAAATAAATAAATATATATATATATCCACTTCTCTAGCCGAGAGGGCAACCCTGGTCGGCATGATGCGGGAGGTATGGACCGCGGGACCTAAACACGCGCAGATGCACCCCTCTGACCCTTCTGGGCCAATTTAGAATCCCCAACGCCATTCTCACTCCGCTGTCTGCCTCTCTTTCTCGTTCGTCCCCTTCTCTGCGTTGCCTCAAAACTCTCGGGGCGGCTTCTTCCCTAACTAAAAGGCAATAGAACAAATCAATAGTTTTCTGCCAGGGAAAGAGAACCAAAAGCAGGAAGGTGGGGAGGTGTGCCTTTTTGTTGTTGTTGTTCTCCCTTAAATAGTGGTGTTTTTATTTTATATTTGTCGCTGCACTTCCTTCTTAGTTCCAAGGGAAATGCTTTCTTTCTTTTTTATTTTTTATTTTTTTTGTAAATAAAAACTTTCCCTTTGTTGGAAAGTTTTTATGTATTTAAACTACCTACCATGCCTGCTGTGCTCAGGTGTTTGTTTATCGCCCCATCCCCACCCTTTTTCTACCTCAAATCTATATGACCACTCACTGCCCCTTCCTTTACCAAAGCAGTATCTATGCTCTTGACTAATAAAATGTTTTCTGACATCCAAGGAAGCCTATGTGGTGTCTTGGGCTGGGATCCTGCCTGGCCTACTCCATTGGCTGTACTAGATGGAGAGTCTCGGATTCCTGTTTCTCCTCTTTTGAAAGCACCAAATCAAACTGCAAATGAGTAAAAGGAAGGAGATAGATAAACGATTTATTCCTGGAGCGAAGTGCAAAGTTGTCTTTAGGATAAAACACTGACACAGGATAACACCAGTGAACTCGGAGAAATGAAAACTGGAAAGCGAATTAGGCACACAGAGGACGGGCCTAGGATTTATATGAGTCGGTATTTGCCATTGCCCGGAAGTTAGTATGGGCACGGGTATCTGCTTTTAATGGTTTGGTGGGATTATTGGGATGAACAGCATCCCAGGACAGTGTAGCTGGGGAAGAGGGAGATTCACTTAGGAATAGGTTCATGTACGTGAAATTCTGAACACGTGCCAAATAGATAGGTGTACGTGTAACGGTGCTGGAGCTCAGAGCCCCATGGCTGTGCGGGATGTGTGTGTGTGGGGGAAGGGGGTTTGATTCAATACATAGTAGCAGCTATTACTATTTTAGACGTGAGTAAAGTAAGCTTATTCAAGCATTTATGTTTCTCAGCAACAGCTTTCAACAAATACTTGTGAAAGCATATGGATTTGTGCAGAACTTGCGGGTGGATGGGTGCGCAGCCTAATGTGGGCACTTGTGCAGGAGCGCCAGTCTTTGTGGCCCCACGCGCACACACACACGAGTGGGGTTGTATAGATGGGGGTGCCTTCCCGAGGCGCCCGGTGCTTGCTGGGCTAAATCGAAGCAAGCAAATGCAGGCGTGTACATGTCCCTGAATACCAGTATGTGGCCAACTAGTTTTGTGCCCAACTGTGTGCTGTAGGCACTATGCTAAGCGCCTTTACTGGTAGGGTCTGCTCTTGCGATTGCCCGGGGCACGCACAATTTTCAGGGCTTGTACTGGTCTCCGGCGCGCACTACTAGGAAAGAGGCTAGCGCTGGTCCCTTGCCCCTTTTCAAGCTCCGCGCGGCAGAAGCGTGACCCCTCACTCATCCCCAGCTGAGAGAGGACACGCGGGGCAGGGCCTCGCGGGGCACCAGGCTTGGCCCAGGCTCCTCATCCCGGCATCTGGGTGAATATGGGGCCCGATTAATCTTGGCTGTAAACACCGTGGCAGAGGCTGAGCAGTCACGCAGGCCTTTCCAGACTGGAAAGAGTTAATAAAAGGTGTTTTATGGGCGCGGGGAAATGGTGGGGGAAGTGTGAGCTTCTTTCTACTCCCGCCCCCCTACTTTTTCTTTTTTCCCTTTTGCCACCCGCCGCCAGATCAAACAGGCCGGCGATTTAACTAGGGCTACACCTCGCGGTAATGAGCGGTCCCGGCGCACCCCTCCCCCGGCCCGAGTTCCAGGCCCGAGGCCCCCAGGCCCTCAGGGAGAAGCAGAAAAGAAAGATCGAGTTTGTCCCCCCCCCCCTTTTTTTCCAAGACTTTGGAAGCGCCTTAGAAATACTGACCCGCATAGGGAAACTGAGATTCAAGAAAGCAAGCCTTAGATGAAGGTCTCACTGCACGTAGGGGACCAGATCTGGATTCGAACCCAAGGCCACAGCTTTGTTCACAGAGAAGCTTTTGACTACCACAAGGCTCAGAGCCCGCGCCTATTTTTAGTATCGTGAAGTATCCTAGGCACGGGAAGAATGCGAACCCAGGTCCTCCTTTCTTATAGCCTTGACCAGTGAAAGGGGAGGGGGTACCTCCCTCCTCAACCTAAGCGAAGTCTGGCATAACTAGGCCTCTTCAGAAAACCCCATCCGGCCGGGCCCAAGCCCTCTTTAGGAAGCGAAGGGTGGAGTCCCAAAATCAGTACCAGTCACGTTCAGTTCCAGTCCCAGACCCTGGATCTGGGAACTGGGGCTTGGAACCAGTGCACATTTACGGGGTCACTTATCTATCCCCCCACCTTCTCCAAATCAGTGACTGTGAACGCCTCAGCTACATTCCCACCCATCCATAATTGAAAAAGTTGAGTGCCCGCAATAGAGATAGAGACGGAGTTCCCCCAGGGTTCACCGCAGCGAGTTCGTGGCCCAGGGCTCCAGACTCTGGGTCCAGTGCTCTTCCTACCGCCTCTGGGCTCTCAAGGCCTTGGCGAAGGAGTCTGTCCTTTTTTGAACAAATCAAAGTCTCCTCTCTCTTTCGAAAATATTTTTAGTGCCTGGAGTTTGCTTTCTTATTATCGATGAAAGTTTCAACGCGTTTTGTCAGAAACTTCAATTTGGCTGTGCCATTATTTTTATTATTGTCATTTATTAAATTAAAAGCATCGTATGTTTATTTTTTAATTCAGGGGAAAAATGGAATTGTCACAGACTTAGACAAAAGGAAATTGCAGGAATAATTTATCTATAAGGAAATACTGGTGTTACAAATATTTAAACTACAGGTCTATTTTACTAAAGAGTGAAAAATAGGAAAGTACTTAGATGTCTTATAATTACAACAACTGGTCAAAAAAATTCATTAATATAGCGGATTACTATGTAGCCATTAGAAAATATCTGGAGATTTAATTGGAAATTTTTCATAATACATTAAATGTGTGTGTATGTGTGTGTGTGGAGAATCCTATGTTACTAACCATTGTTCATTGTGACTCACAATGTAAAGGCAAAACAAAACAAATGACCATAAAAATAAAAGTCATTCGTGAAGAAAAAGTGGAAGAATACATATCAAAACATTTATACTCTGCCTTGACTTGTAGAAATAAGGATAAATTTTGATGTTACCTTATTTAATGTGTATTTTTCTTTAAAATTTCAAATGATTAATTTTGCTTTTGCAAGCAATTAAAAATAAGCTGTAACTTCCTTCTAATTTCTCCTGTTGCCAGTGTACTTTCAACATGTCACTTATTCGATATAGGCTTATTGAGTGCCCACCATGTACTAGGCACTGTGGATATTAATACAATGAATAAGAGAGGGCCTAATAATGATCATTGATTAATATACATGTTTATCTTGAAAATTTTTTAAAATTCCTTCCACACAGGAAATATAATCTTTTTTCTTACATTTAAAACCTGTTAATGCATAAAATAATCATAATAACAACAGGTACTATTTATTTAGGAAAACTTTCTAAGTCCTTAACGGACATTAGTTCATTGAAGCCTCACAAAAATGTTCTTTAAGGTCAGCACTGAGGCTGCTGAGGAGGCTTAGAGAGGTGAAGGGTTTTGCCCAAGGTCACAGAGATGGTAAAGGTAAGTTGGGATGACTCCAGACCTGGCTTTCCCACACACCTCTAAGCAGCTCCAGGGTATGTGTGTCCTTGTGTGTGCACATGAGTTGTACGTGCCTACCCACTAGCCACTCCTCCGAAGGAAGATTGGGCAATCTACTTCCATAGAGATACTGCCTCAGAAACCCAAGGAGGGGTCACTATGAGTCAGAACCGACTCAACAGCAGTGAGTTTTTTTTTTTTTTTTTACCCAAGTACAGCCTCTTGTAGGTTGGTTTTCCTTGGTCTCCAAACTAATGTAGAGAAAGAAAAAAGAGGTTTTACGAAAGGATCTGAGATTTTTAGTCTAGCCTTCACTTGAAAGCAAGTGTAGGGGCTCCAGGTGAATCCCATCTGTAAAAGGAGGAAGGGCGTGGGCCCTGCAACCTTTAGGTTCTTCCCTGACTATAATACTCTGATTCTAGGAATCTGCTTTTGGCTGGAGAAGCACTCAGCTGTTACTCTTTGTAGCAGCCTCTGGCGTTGGCTTAGAGCATTCACCTTTCCTCTGTACTTTCACTTCTATAAGCACATTTTTCTCCCCATAAACTTGAAGGAAGTCAGGGCAGGTATTATGCTTCGCATGGATACATGGGAAAAGGAAGGACCAGAGAGGTGAAGCAACCAGCTTAAGGTCACACAGCTGGTGAAAGGTTGAGCTGGGATTAGAAGACAGGTCTGCAGGTTTCAGGCCCAGGGCTATCTTGGAAAATTCTGGATCCCTTGTTTCTATGCAGCCAGCAGTTAAGCTTATGGTCTTGTTAATCCTCATAGAAGAAACGAAACCAAGGAATCAGGCAGTCTCATTTTTAAATGAAAAGTGACTGTGAAGAAAAAATATGCATGCTCTAAAGTGTCTGCAACCAGCCTCCTGATTTAAACTCA